CCCTTTGGTTGGAAAATATGTAAATCGTACAAAAACATTTTCGCCTCGATACGCTCCGTGATATTCCTTCCGTTTTATTACATTACGTCCCCCATCAAATATCCTGGATCCGCCCCTGCTTTATTTGACGTGTTCATTTGCAGTCAGGATTCTACTTCGTCAAAATTATCTCCCCATTATGCCACCTTATTTATATAATCGTAAAAATGGAAGCAAATGTAGTGATGGCGCGCTGTTATTTAAGCTCTTGAAAACCGATCAATTTATCCACTTAGCATCATTACGATCCTTATATGCCAGTTGTATTTTAAAAGACAAATGTATCTACTAGCTATTGAGCATCATTTAATGTACTGTTATGCAAGTGGTCAACGTAAAACTATTGTCTGATTGGTTGTCAGGGGAATTTTCGAAAGTTCAAAAATATTTAAAAAAATCTTATGTTAAAAATATTTCGTGGAAGGGCAGACTAAAAATTTTTAGAGATAGAAGACTAATTACACTAGAAAACACACACACATTTTTTCGAAGTTATGCATTTTTAAGATCCACTTGTAAAGTCTGTCGTCAAGTACTTTTAGTAAAAATTTTGTTATTCGAACACACCTACTCTGTTGTTGTGATTCATTAGAAAGGTATTTCACTGGACCCATATATTTCATTTTTTAGTACTGTAAATATTTAATGTTATTATATCAACATATAGCCTAAATATATAAAAATAATAGAATCTGAAGCGAGATGATGTATCTAATATTTTTCTTTTATACGTTTTCAAGACGGATTGGTCAACTCAAACACGCCTGAACATAAAAAGGTGTACTCGACTTTCTCTCTTTCTTCGGATTTTTTTCGGCGGAATTTATGCTTATGCACAAAAAAGATCCACATGTATTTGCACCTACCACAATCGACTGTTTGGTGACAATATGTCTATAATTTAAAAGTTTACAAATATCTCGAAGCTCCATACCATAATTTAAGTAAAAACACATATATAAGATGCATAAAACCCTGAATTATGCATATTCATTAAACTTTGAAAGCCCATAGAAACAGATGCAAACAATTCAAATTTACCAACTTGGCCTTTTTTACCTTCTCTAATAAAGAGTTCCATTTCTTTTGTTTTATTTCGACTGGGTTTCCGCCTGTTTGTTTGTGAATTACCGTAGTAATTTTAAGTTTCCGTTCAGCACTATACCTTGTGGAGTCCTTTATATCTTTCACCCTATCAGTTAGCATTGGATTTCAGTGATTTTTCATTTTTTGAAATAAAAAGGGAAATATTCATCGGCATCTAATGTTTTTTTGCAAAATTTGCAATGTCGGTGCTCTTTTGAATTGAAATTAAAAATACCCGCTTTCTGTCTACTAATACATTGTTGCTTGATTTCAATTTTAAGAAGGTTTTTTTCATTTCAACGTCACTATGAAATTAGTAAAATTGTTAATTTGCTTTTCTTGATTTCGAGGTCATTGAACATCAAAATTATGTTCTTAGAACGGCGAAACACTTGTATGGGAAAACAAAAGATCTCTAAAAGGAGTCGAACAGAAGTCACATTTTGACACTTTTCTTACCATAGCTTGCACAACCTAAGAAAGTTTGTCAAAATATGAAACGAAGCAGACAAATAAGGCAAATCAACAATTCAATAAATGAAAACAAATTAGAATTAAGAGATTCAGTGTCGCGGTATTTCAAAAGCAAAAATTATAAATTGTTCCAGATGGTAAAACTGTACGTTTGAATACGGATAGAAAATGTCATGATAATTCGGAAAATGTAACAAATATGTATTCATTTACGACTATATTGATTGATTGATTGATTGCGTGTTATTTGCTTAATGTCCTGTTGAAAATATAACATATAACTTCAACAGTGGGCTATAAATCATACGGTAAGTTGTAACTTGAAAAGGCCCCACCACGACAACATGTTTAAAAATTCAAAAGAGAAAACCAACGGCCTGAATTATGCTTAAAAACAATAAACGAAAACATATAGTACAAACAACTAACGACAACCCACTGAATTACACACTCCTGACTTGGGACACATAAATGTGTATATTCAGGACCAGTTCAATGTAATAAGCAAACCGCACCCAAACAGACTACATAGTTTGAAGTCAAGCATGCAGAATGTTAATGTGTACGACTTCGTTGATATATAAGTTATGTACCTTTACACGGATGCAAGTATAAAAACGAAGAGAGGGAAAACGAGTAAGTAGATTGATCTTTACGTTTAAAGGAAAAGGTTCATATTTTATGATAAACCATCCTTATTCTTATGAAAAGAACACTTATGATGGGGAGATTTATTTGCATGTAAAAGAAATATTATATGACAAAAGACTTATTGTTCTCTTCTTTGTTCGCTAGTTTGAAAAGATCCACCCATTTTCTCTTTCCGAATAATTTTGATCAATACGTAGAATATTCACATTTTTTATGTGTTTGTTTCATATACCTACAAGTAACTGCTTCACGCCTTTCGGAAACTGCGATATTGGGACATATAAAAAGGGTAAGACTTCGTGTTTTATCTTTTTTATTCTATATCTTTGTATAAAGAACCAGATATGATTATATTCGTCATGCACTACTCCATTCTCTTCAGAGTTATGTCTCAGTCTGTATGGCCGATATTAGTTAAGATGATCAGATCAACCATTTTTGTCACTTTATGCAATTGTGCTTCTTGGTGGATATCGTTATTTACAAATTACATTGCGTTCAAAAATACCATTTAAAGATATTTGATCGCGTGTTGCTGTAGTTTTTGAGACCAGCTTATAAGATTAATTTTATATCCTCAAAATTCCTTGGCAGATAGTCCATAGAGTTTGATTTCATGTCAAATGATAGATACTTGTCCAGTCTGACTGTCAGAACGAGTGATGATTTCAGTGGCTAAACCGATAATGAACTTCCAATACAAAAAATCGCATTCAAAGACTTTTAAGTTTTATTTTAAAAAATATTAGCCTCTCCGTTGAACATAAATAAACAAGTTATAGATTGGCACTTCCGCATATCTTTATTGTAAAGGAGATTTAAAGTATTTTTTTCAGCTTCAAAAATTTTAAAAACACCTGATTATAAAATAATTCGAATGTTTTAAACTACGGAAGTGTTTATATTTGTTGTTTGTTATTCCTAGCTACAAAGTTATCTTGGATCCTTAACACCTGCCAATAATGGCTATGATGTCCGGGATTTTCACGGTAACTGTGATCTTCTAATTGCAAATCAAAGTTAAAATTTTATTATTGAAATTAAGTTGAAAAAAATGGCAGTCGTATGTACTATTACAAGTTCTAGTACGCTTTCTAGACGGATAAAAGTTGAAAAAGTTGAATCTACATCATTGTTTTGGGTAAGTTTACTTTATCTTACGTATCAAAGCCCGGTTGGATGTGTATATTCTGTTTCCTTAAACCCCTGTTTAAAGAATACAGCGAGAAACGTACCATGATAGACCATCGGAAACATTTGACTCGGTATATTTTATCTAATGTCAATGATTGAGGATATAATTAAAGGTTGTGGGTGTATAGGAATATAATGAAGTTTAATCCTTCTAAATTTCACAAGATTAACTTTTTTCTTTACAGGGGTTAAATTAAATCTAATTTGACGTGTCATGTTTTGAAATTCATTCAAATAATTATATGTACATTCAATCACATTTCTGGAATTGGTGATGTAGTCATGCGGCATGACTATGCAGCTTTTTTCAAAATTATTTTGGCAACTTCTATCATTGTTGTCGAAGTTAGTCCAGTCCAGGGCGAAAGGCTTTCGTCAATTAACGATTTTCCATAATAATTTATTTTTATCAGAAGAGGAATTAATCACACCCTATTATCGGCTAAAAAATGCAATAGAGGTTACACAGATTAAAATCCATTGTATTGCAATGGCTATAGGAAAACGCAAAAAAATCCTCCGTACACGATAGCTAAAAAAAGAAATTGCGTTTATTGGCAATCGAGAACACATATCCTAGTGTATTTGCCCCGTAGAGATAGCCGATAACACGGTAAAATGTGAAAGGCGGATGTATGAAGTCAATTGAAAAGAGCATATATATGTAAGTGAAAGGGAGATATGGCTTAGTCAATTTGAAATTCCTATCGCAAACAAATGTGTATTGTATATAATCAAAATAGCATTTCTATAGTCTATTATCATACACATGAACGTAATTGAGACTATGATATTTCAACAGAAATATATATTGATGTCTGAAAATATTTTTTTATTTCTATTTATGTCGCCTGTAATAACTGTAAAATTTAAATATAATAAATATTTAAAACCCTCAGCTCAAAACTTATAATAAAATCTAATATGATAAAATGCACAACAATGTTGTGGTTTACTTTGTTTTGTGTCCGCTTGTTTATAGTCTAAGAGTAGAACAAATGAAATCTCAAAATTTATTTCAGAAAATTAAGTAATTAGGAATTTAAAGGACAAATTTGAACATTAGCCGTAAATATGTCCTTAATCATAATTTTGTATAATACATACATATAATACTACAAAAATGCTTCAAAATAAACGTTATATTTAGATTATTGTATGCTTGGTGGAAGGCTGGTAGTATTGTCGAATTGTTATTCAAATATCTTTGTAGAACTTTTTTTACAGATTTATTTGATTATTGAGACCGATATAAATAATCTATATATAGATCTTTTTTTTTTAGCTTTCTTGTCAATGGTTTTGTTGCTGTCAAACCCAACCTTGACTTTTTTATTTGAATATTTGAATATTTGAATTTCAAATTTTATTTTTATCTGCACAGCTATATCTACATTATACTACAATGGGTGACAATCATACAAGCCAACCTGTTTGTGAAAAGATTAAAGTCTTTTTAACCGTCCTTTTATTCCTTCATAGGTTGACAATAGTTCCCCATTATAAAATATATATGTATATAACTGGGTTATACAAATCTTTCCGGATGATAGAATTTTAAAGAGACACAAAAAGATACTTAGCATAAGAGCACATTAGTAACCGTGTTGTGATTTCATATTAACCTGAAGTTTGTTGAGGCCTCTGTGTAGTTAATGTAAATTGTGTTTTGAGGGAGTGGAAAGATTTTGTGTAAACTTTGAGAAATCACTGTAGCTGCATTATAAATGGATGTACGTTGGTTTGTCTATTCATTTCCTTATATTGGAACAATAAAGACAATTTTTAAAAGCTCGAACTTGAAAATATCAAATTTCACGACGATGGGGAAACAGGAATTGACAAAGATGGTCAGTCAAGAAATTGTATAATAATTTGTTATTTGCTAATATTTAAACTGAACAAATATAAACAAATATGATATAATTATATGGAAATGACTATAATCATGATAGTTTGATCTTGGGAAAAACAAGGAAATATCGGTAAACAAATCTCAAATATTGATTCGGTCTTTCAAGTACTTGTTGAATGTTGACACGGGAGAAAATAGTGGATATTAGACGAGACGATGATTTAATGGATCAAAGATTGTACAGTTTGTATGCATAGTCTGATTTGGATTTAAAATGATTGTGGCGGTATTTTTCTTGATAATGCATTCTGATGTATATTTCAAAATACTTGGAAATTTGACCAAAAACAAATGATTAAAACATCCATGAATTGATGAGAAAATTTTTGGAATTTAAAAAGAAATAATTTGATTTAAAATTGTGAATATGTACCAGCCTATGTTTCCAAGTCTTACCGGAAATACGGGACAAAAAGGGGCTCTTACTCTTGGTGCTTCTAAACGGCCTAGTGGGAGAAAGGCCAACAGTATAATCAGGAAACGTACGAAAGAAGTTCCGTATGACTATGCGGGGAAATTTCCAAAAGAAAATGTCGAAAATGTGAGTAAAAAATTACTTGTGGCCCTTTTTCTATTATGCCTCTAATATGATATTCCGTTCATCTTTTCTGTCAATTTAATCCATATGATAACTTTAGATACATATTGTTGGTTTGCTACATTGTTGGCACTTTCTTCTATTTATAGACTTAATCTTAAGAACTCAACAGACACGGTAAAAAAAGGGGGGAGTTAAAACATTTATAATATATTTGAACATTCATTATTCCCTTATAATAGTGGCAGTTTAATCACATCGTAAGATTACTAATAAACAGTTCAACATGAGAGTCGCAACAGAACAGTAATGCAAAACTAGAAAGTACAGTATGCAAATGAGTGGTTACTTCATAGTGATGAAAGAAAGCTGGCAAGGTGATTGCTGAAAAGAATATGTGTCCTTTTGAACTCAGATATCAGCTACAATACTTCAGAACCGATTTAATAGGAAAACTTCTTTAATATTGTAGGAAACATTCAAATTGTATATCGTTGTCTGTCAAAAACATACAGCTTAAGAAAATAAACTTAAATTCCTAATTCAAAGAATAAATCGGTTTTTAATGATTTTGTTGCAAAGACGTTTCCCGGCTAACTTTAGAGGAAATGGATCTCAACAATGGGTAACTTAAGACTCCTCGATGACAATGTCCTTTCTGCTAAACAAATTATTGAGATCCTTCCACATACTGTAAACTGGTTAAGGGAGTTGATTGGCATAAAACCATTATGATTAAAATGAAAACATTTCCTTAGTTCTAATTTTCTTCTTGACACTTTCCATACAAATATTCTTTTTTCAACAATGAACAGATCGATGTTATCTTTATCATTATGAAGAATAAACACGCAACTGTTATTAAGAATGTTAAATAAAACGTATTTGTTTCACACGTTTTAAAAGAAAAATAGTGGAAACGTAAGTACCGAGTAGTTGTTGCAAAATAATTTATGACTATTATGCATGCTATCGTAATATTGCACAGGGTTATGTCCCCTTTATTTATAATACATTCAGATCCAGTTAAGCTTTGGTTTGGTAGTAATCCGATTGTAAACAGTTATCATTACTTTTGATATAGAATAGTATAGTTAATAAGACCGCTATGCTCCACAGACCAAATATGCGAAAGGAGAAGGATGCAAACAGATGCTGGTTCAGGCGCGAATCCAGTCATTTTGAAAAGGTGTTCCAACACCCGGAACACCATGAAACATTAACATAATTGAAAAAAAACGAAGAAAGGGGGGATCCTACCCCCGGACCCCCTTCCCCACCTGGATCCACCATTGCTTGTCACAGACCGACCTCGAACAATTTTATTCTTATTGAAACATATCATGTGTATGATTTTGATCATCTATTTGTTTTTCGAGTGCACTGTTTTTGTTTCATAAATAAAAGATAACATTAAAATGATAGTTGTACGATTGATTTTCCGTGACCTTTACCAATAAATATTTATGTTTATTGAAAATCGAACAAAATATTTGTTTCTTCTTTTGTTATTTATTTACACGTTTATATATATTGCCAGGAGCAATAGGTCAGTTATAATTACTCAACAATTAATGGTTGAAATCTCTTAAAATGTATAAAATTAAATACCGATCCGCTTATGATATAACATTAAACGTTTGCAAAATTGCATATTTTAAGCTTATTCGTCCGTAAAGCTTTAAAATGTACCTGTACTATCTTTATTGCTATTAGACCAAGGAAGGTTATAACTTCACTTTTAACTTTCTGAGGAATGAATGGGTATTTGTATCTTTGTTAAAAAGAAAAAAAGTTTAAACATAATTGCATAGTGTATATGCAAGCAAATGGCTTTAGAGCTTTAAATATTTAATTTTCTTTTTTTTTTCATTTCTGTCAGCTGAGGCAATCCATTTATGAAAAAAGAGTGGACTTTCACATACCCTAAATGTTTACACAATTTTAATCGGATTGACAGCTTAGATTGTCTTCTTATAGCTCTCATAAATGATTACAAGTTGAAACACTTTCTTTCTGTATATACTTATGTTAACACTACAGTATGATATACATGTATAATGGAGATAAACACATACGCAATTTATTGAAAATTTTGAAAAGTTGTTAAAAAAAAAACGATGCTGGTTAAATCTATTGAAATCAAGCGTTTTTTTTAATTCACTTTACATCTCTTTTTTTAATTCAATTTGACAATTGAACTCTTTTGTATATGGACAATTCCAAATACGTCCACACATAGTAATATTGTTTTTAGGGGAAAGATGGAAAATGTTTAGGAATAAGAATTCTAATCTGGTACACAGTACTTTATACATAGAAAAAATAATAGAACATGGAAGGTGGTGATTAATCAGTCAACTGAGATTTTTTCATGTTCATACAATTTAAAAGAATTGAAATACTTAGAATTAAGAATATAAGTACACCACTAAGAAGGTTAAACCATATTCATTGCAACCACTCTCTGTAGGATCCTTAAGTGACCTGCCGCAAGACGAAATTTTAACCTCTTACCAAAATACTATTTCTCTCAGTTGCAGTTTAAATTTCCAATCCTTCATTCAAGTCGACCTACCTTCAAGAACCTACATATTGTTTTACATATTGTTTTACATTTCTAATTTGTTTCGTACAGAATATGCATGAAATATTAGTCACTGGATATTAAGTAAGCAACACTCAATCCATCTATTTTAGATACTTTGTACTTGAGGAATTTAGATTTTAAACAGAAGCTATTCAAATATTGTGTAAACAGACAAGTCGATAAAAAACTACACGTGAATTTAGATATTTACATTTAAATCTTCAAACAAAAAGTCATGGATTTTTTATCAAGTGTTCAAAAATAGTATCAATCAATTCCGGTTCAGTAAATATATTTCACAACACAGATTTTTTTTTACAAATGTCTTAATTAGAGCTAAAAGTATAAACACATTATGCTATTAAAAAGTAAAAAGGCTCCCTGACCTATGGATTATTTAACAAAGTCTATTGTTATACAAACATTTAAAATATTAGATATTGGAATTAAAAGATCGAATTTCATATTTTAAAATGGCGGATTTAGCATGATAATGAATAAGCTGTGACATAAATTTCTCTTTTGGAATGAATATTTTGTTGTTTAGTGATTTCTTCTGGAATATTGTTGTAAATTAGTGTATGTTGTTACAATGTAAAACAAATGGAGTGTTTTCCTTCCTTTTAAGGAGAGCAACTGAATTTCATGTCCTTTTCAAGGTGATATGAATTGATTATCAAAGAAATAGAGCCGCATTTTATTGAATTTGAACTATAAAATGTTAGAACACAATACGGACAAAGAAAGTTTCTATTTCAATGAGGAGGATGGAGAGGAAGTGGAAGGAGAGGTAGGAAAACTTTCACAGAACGTAGCAAATTCATTTAGGGGGAGGGTGTGGTAAAATTTGTTAAGAGGGAGGGTACGGGTTTTCGGTTGGTATCAATTCATTTAAATTCTTCGTTTGAAATAAGGTGAAGGAGGTGTGATTGAATTCTTATTTCGTGTGTTGAAGAATGACATTTTATTAGTTATATATGAATACCTGTATCAGAGAAGAATACGTAATCACATATATTACATTTTTATTTGCTTGAAATTGACATTTGTTTAGCCTTAACGGTTGGTGGCACACAAGGGAGAATAAGATGAAATTCAGCAACATAAATGTAGTAACAAAGATGTGTAATGAACTATAGTTTGGCGCCAGCTAACATGTTTAACCCCGCCATATTCTTTATGTGCCTGTCCCAAGTCAGGAGCTTGTAGTTCAGTGGTTGTCGTTGGTTCATGTCTGTCATATATATATCTTTCATATTTGTTTTTCGTTAATTGGGCCGTTAGTTTTCTCTATTGAATTGTTTCACATCTTTTATGTTGGGGCCTTTCATAGCCGACTATACGGTATGGATTTTTCTGTTGAAGGCCGTACGGTTACTTATAATTGCTTACACCCACTTCATTTGAACTTAGGCGTAGAGTTGTCTCAATGGCAATCATACCACATCTCCTTATTTTTTTATATACTGGTGAGGAGTTCACTTTCCTCAGTGCTATTGAGTTTTAATAAATGAAACAACAAACTTCATAAATTCAGAGAAGGAAAAGAATTGTCTAGTTGATTTTTTTTTATCTAAGATGTGTTGTATTTCATTTTTCAATTCTAGTTGATTCTCTGGACAGTACTTTGAAGAGTTGATGTGCCCGTTCATTATTTGACTGTGACAGAAGAGAATGCTTTATAATGGAAGCGTAAATCATTTTTGTTTGAGTCAAATGTCATTTTGTCTTGTAATTGCACCCTATATAAGTATGTTGGTCTTTGAATTTTTCATGTATTTTTTAAACTTATGAATATCTTTCATATTTCACCGAAGCCAGGGTATGTGCACAATGATAAATTGCCTTTTGAAACTCTTTTTGCAAAATAAATATGCCTTTTTACTCGTTTGATCATTTGTTCATTGTATTCAATACACATGTTTTCAATGCTAATGGCTTGCTGAGACTACTATCACATTGTGAGGGGAGCTATTTGCGAAAACCCTAGTCTTAGCAAGGAATTTCCTTTGTCTAGCGGCTCAGGTAGTTTTACCTTCTATCGACTGATTATTTTCTTCAAATACCCCTCCTGAACATGATATTTTCATAATTCTACAGTATCAATTTTATTGTTGGGGAATCTTGAAAAAAAAGTATCTTTCTTCGAGGAGTAAACGACAAATAAGTTATTATACATGCATAACACATACAGTAAGACATTAAGTATCTAATTTAACAAATTGAAGTTTTGCATTGTTTACATTTATACTTGATCCAGGTGGTCTTCATTTACAGTCTTTGTCTTAGTAAGGTTTGCCGTGCTGAATTGTCATTTCATTTAACAAATGTACATATGATATAATCAGGATTTCGTGTTTAAGATCACAAGTGACGGATTACAAGGACAATTTTCTCGACTTATATCGTATATAAATCATGTACGATATATGATTGTAAAAATTTACAACCTGTTCTTACACCAAATCTATATGCTTATTCAAAATTGTTTACTGAGCGATATATCTTCTATGTATTGAGTCATATGATATTTGGTTTTCGATAAGAGTGTACTTTTTCGCACTCGTCATTTCAGCTTTTCAAAAGTTATAAACAATTTTCGTGTAAATGTCTTTCATGTGTAATTTAGGGGGAAATAAAGAAGAGAAATGCTTAAAAAGTGTTCATTATAACTATGTCAGTCTCATTTTAAATATATGTTTTAAATTCTTGTAAGATCATTTTTCCGATATGTTTCGCCATTTCGTTGAAGTATGTTTGACCAGTAGAAACATCCAAACGATCAGATGCGTTGTGTAAAATAAAGTATCTTTTTCGTCATAAAAATTTTAATAAAACACAGACAATAACGATTTGTTTCTGTTATCTTGACATAGCACTAAAATCTTAAAAAACAGATTATGCGCAATGTAGATTTGTTTCTCGTAATGATTTTGTTATACTATATTTGAAAGTCAAGTCTATAGTTTGCAAAGTTTAAGAGTGATGGCACGTTAATTGATTTAACCCCCTAACATTTGTGCCAATATCGAGTCAGGCTGTCTTGACCATGTGTTGTTCCTTGAAAGTTTTTTATTGTGAATTTCACTTTTGAAGATATATGATCTAGTAAGGCGAAGGAGGTGTTTGGTTGCTCGTGAACCTGATTTAACCCACCACATTATATACATGTACCTGTACCAAGTTAGACTTCCTGGACAATGTGTCTTTTGGTTTTGTTTATCTTTGTTTGTACGTATATTTTTTCAGAGGAAAGTAGTGTTGCTCATTGGTGTGGTCTGTTGTACTGTCTGAGATTTTTTTTATTATTCCTATAATTTGATTATGTATTGATTTAAAGTGTGTATTCTACTTTTTTTCGAACAGATTTGTCTATATAATATCATTTAAATCTTGAAACGACCATATCACCCATGGAATATGTAGCAACATGCCAAATAATGTTAACGGACCGAAAACTGGATAAACATGTCTCCAAAGAATAGTCAATATCATTTGTCCAGACTGCACGTCAACTATGATTTTAACAGTATCCGACCATATGATATAATATCAAGTTCATTGCTCAATGGTCAATTTACCGATACCTAGGACAATCTAATTGAAATATAGATCTATCGAACTTGCGATGGGTGTTAGATCTCATATTAGTATACCGAGATCAGAGATCTATATTTTAATTAGATTGATATTTAGGAGTACAAGGGAACTCAATGCTGTATTCTGCGATGGTCTTATTTTGCTGTAATAGTTACTTTATACAATCCAGTATCTCAAACATGCTTTGTGTTGATTTTGCAACCTACCCGTCCCACTATGTATTATACAAATATGCTCTGGGCTTTTATGTTTCTATTGTTTGATTGGAATAGATATTTATCATTGTTTCACATCAATATTTTCCAATTATAAGGACTATAGAAACAGGTATAATATAAATGCCTTTTCCGATAACCGCTCATACAATCTCGGTATTCATTCAAGATTGCAATTAATTTTTCAGCTTGTTTGATACGTAATAGATCGTCATTGACATATTTCGTTACTGAATAAAACTAACAGTTAATCGTATAGGATAGAGTACGACTGCACTGTCTTTGATCAGTTCGACTTGAGAGATCTTAAGAGTTTCAGTAAAAATATCTGTACGTAGCGGATTAATTTGATGAGCAGATGGGTCAAAAGAAAACAGCTGCGACTGTTGACCCCATTACGGATGACAAATTATTTACCACGTCATTATTTATGTGATAAACAAAGAAGTCCATTTGACGCATTTTTCACAACTTGTTCAATGCCCCCCCCCCCCCCCCCCCCCACCCACCCAACTCATACGCCCCTGCTTGACCTGTCTTGATTTCAATAGATATATTTTGTCTGATACTAGTATTGATACAGAACTCTTTGAATTGCCACTATTTCATGTACATAGTATACAATGTTAATACTTCAAATATATATTTATGTTTTGTAGAACGAGGTTGGGCAACAGTCACAACACATGACATCTGTCAGAGCTGGCCTTCAGAGAGCGTATCTCGATGGATTGGACTTCCTTCGGAACAAGATTCAGGACTCGGAGATGGAAGTGCAAAATCTGCAACAAAGCTTTTATAGCTCTGAAGAGGCAAAGGGAGACAATTTAACTCAGAAACAGTTAGACTATCTAAAACAAGTAAACGACAAGTTGTTAAACGCAAATAATGAATTAAAGCGCAAAAATATAAAGTTAGAAATTATAGACAGTGAAACATGCCTTGTTGGTCTTATCAATAAACTTAGAGAAGCGATGGAATATGACAAAGGTGAAATTACGATGTTAACTGAGTTTTGGGAAAATCTCCGAAATACGGTTGATGGCTTTCGTGCCTTAGTTGAAAAATTTCAAAATAGTGTATTAAATCGATTAAATCAGAGTTGCATTAGCTACAGCAGTGATGATATTAATCTAGAAGTTTCAAATCGTTATACTTTAGACATTTCTGATTATATAACGGAATTAGAACGCGAGTTGACCAATACGAGACTACTTCTGAAAAGTTTAGATAGTGGTTTACATCAGGATTTATTTAAGGATTCCGAATTTTCAGAGAAATTACTGGTTGCATGTGATTTGAAAGCTTTTCCTATATTAAGACTTATTCCAGATCTAGAAAACAAAATCAGCAGTCTATGTGATATTTCTAGAAAATGGCTAAACAGAGATGAAGAATATATGTATGAAGTAAATGATTATATAAGGAAAACACGAACAATAACAAAAAGGAGATCAGATGTTCTAAAAAATCAAAAAGAAAAGCAAAAGAAAATTGAAAAATCTGTTAAATCAACTCAAATTTTATTGCAAAACAACAGGGAAAAATTGCATACAATAGAATCAGAACTGAATCAGTTAGATGAACAAATTGCTGGTTACGAGCACGTTAAGAAGAGTAAGCATGACGAAAAGGAACAAAAAGCCAATATGGCGGACTTTTTAAAGCTTACATTGACACAAACGAAGAAAAATTACAGTCTCCAAATCAAGAGGCAGAAATTATTAAAGCAAGTTCGCGAGTTAGAGCAATTGCTCATAGCTATTGAGAGGGAGTTGTCAGATGTTCAAGATAAAAAGGTTGAAAGAGACCAAGCCAAATCATTGCTGACAGAAAAAGTAGAAAATAGTCAAAAATCATATGGTGCTGCAAGAAACGAATTTAGTAAATATTCGGACGAACTAGAAACACTTGAACAGGAAGTAAATATCTTATCAGGTCAGCTGTTACAACTTGAGATTATACAGACATATAAAACAAGCCCCGAAAATTTGGAACAGATATTTGACCGACCACAAACTGTTAAACTGGCACCTTCACTGAAGGAGAAAATTAAGAATAGAAAGCGGAAGGTCGGAACACAGAAAGTAGACTAACTTCCGTCTCTCCATGTTTTTTCACTTGTTAAATTGCACTTTAATGTATTCTATCTCCCATGACGCATTTCACTGAGATATAGAGTTAAGGAGGATTAATAATCTTTCAATTGACGTCTTCCAAATTTTTATAATGCTAAAGTATCAATCTTGTTAGTTATACTCATAATTCATGTCATATCTCCGAAATTTTAAAATTAAAACACTAAAAAAAGTTTTCTCTAAAGGGGTCCTACCTAGGGTTCTGGATATATGATTACCAGGCCTGTTAATTTCATTATCCGATTCAACGGTTATTTTTAAAAGCGTCGATTAAAGCTCCCTATTAAAAAGGCGATTACGTCGAAAAATATATTACCCCATTCCCTTGGGGTTTTTAAAACAACCACAAACCCCATAAAAAGAGACGGTACGAAAGGTAAAGGGAAAAGCTGAATTCATTTAAAATTTAACTGACCTACATTAAACAAATACAGAAGTTATTTAAAAGGTAAACAGAGAATTATAATCATTTCATATTTAATTCAGGATAGATTTGTGCTTTTTTATCTATTTACTTTTTCATTTACCTAAAGTGCTGCATAAATAAAACTTATTCTAAAAATACCGATAAATAAAAAGGTATGTATGCATATGATGGATTTTTCAAAAGGTTCTTTTGTCCGACATTTTGTACATATGAATACATACATGACTCTCTTTTTAAACTGAACCAAGGTGATTTAAATGGCAAATCGCCATGTGTTGTAACTAAAAGCCTTTTGATACTGTACTCAAAAGCCAAAATATTTTTATTTCAAATTGAAATTTTATCTTTCGGAAATCTTTAATTGTGTACTTTGTATTTAAGTTTAGTTTATGTTTAAATACACCTTGCCTCCCTGGAGACGATGATAAACGCCATTAACGGAAATCTTGGCCGGTAATCCCCTTCCTTAAACATGTTAAACAAATATCCACATATAAAAAGTCAAATATAACAAGAAAACATAAAACTTCAATGACTGCCGAATAACATTCAAGGGTAGACCACGTAAATTCATACAGAAAAGTAAGTTCAACCAAACGATTACTTTGATAATGTATAATGCTGCAAAATTACTTCAGTCGCTGAGTCTTCTTCCATACTTTTGAGCACTACCTTTGAAGTTGAACAGTAGACTGTAATTTAAAGGCCTGGAGCCCCTCTTTTCGAAAACTTTTTTAATACATTATTGTTCTGATTAGAAATGAAACCGTGTAAATTCAAATGGATTATTATTCTTTTAAAAAAGGTCTTTAAAAATAATTCATTATAAATTTCTTTTCATAGAAGTCGACTGCTTCAAAACGTCAGACAGGAATTCTCTTTCATATCTTGCATGCATATGTCATAAAGAAAAATAGATAATTCGTGATAGAGAAGTTGATCTTATTTGCTTTAATGTATTGTTAAACATATTTTGTAGATAAGAAATAAGCAGGTATGTCACCCTGTGGTTATATCGTAATATTGATCATTATATTTTAATGTTAACAGATAAACGTCTTGCAAAACAATATCTTGTAATTTTCATTTTTTTCAAAATCTAATGAAAATGAAAGTGATTTAAAACTGAAATTACAGATTTGTTAATCATTAAATGTGTGATTCAATTATGGTCACAAACATTATTTTTACCCCCCACCCCCTCCCCCCAAAACAATCCTATTGGAAAGACGTCTTTTCTCAAATACTTCTGCATTGAAGACGGTAGATAGAGTCGATGGCAGATGTTTGTTCCATCTGTTTAGACAAAATGTCAAGTGACATGTCTTTTTATGTATTAGTGTTAATCAAATGTTTTTGAGGTGTTAGAATATAATGATGTTTTTTCACATAAGTTGTTAATACTAAGTATATGAATTCTTAAAATTAACACCCCAGATGTTTGACAGAATAGAGTCAATATTTGATGCTATATCTGATTTTTACATGCAACAAACAAAAACTCCATAACAACGAGATACAGAGAAAATGACGATGCACAGACAATATTTGGACCTAACCGAATTAAAATTATAAGATATGCAAGCAATAATCAAATTTACTCTATCAGATATCTAATTGACAATTTTTTGTTGATCTCATTTTAGCTTAATCGGAAAATAGGCAAATTGTCAAAAGGTAAATATGTTGATGAAAAAAACAAATAGTTCAAATTTAATCCAAATAGTTCAAATTTAATAGTATAACATATATCTTAGAAGAGACTAAATAATCGTCCGGCATTTGATACTATCTTGGAGTTAAGTACAATCCCTAATGTGTATTGTGACATAAAAGACTGAATGGATGAACTATGTCTGTTCTATGTGATATGACTGTTGTAGTAAGGCACCCCTATGACTGTTCTATGTGATATGATTGCGGTAGTTTATGAATTTTGTATATGTTTACGTCATTATTATGTGATTCCGTGTATGCCAAAAGATACGCAAAATAAATTTGTTAAAAATTATCAAGGTCTTGCTATATAAATGGTTACATTACACGACGAATAGAAATACCATTGAAATGTTCAACGGTTATCTGATAAAATTCCAATATATCTAGATCGGACGATAATATTGAACAAGATTTTACAGTTCGTATTTTAAATGACACCTGTTTTTTTATGATTTCATTCGCTATAGTCATTCAATTACTGAAAACGAAACTTATTCAATATTACCATGAAAACAATGCTGAAAAGTATTCCACAAGAGCTAAATGAACTTTCAATGGTATTTTTTAACGAAGGGAATTTTTTATTGAATAAAATGTTTATATTTGTTTACACGAAGTTTGAACTTGGATCAGAAGTTAAAAAAGGTGAATTTGTTCTATGTTTCTAATGAGACAACATCAAATAAAACAATCTGGAAAAACGACCCTAAGCACCTTAGCACCGAGCTTGTCATAATATAAAACATCTAAAGACCAACTGTTGGAATGGTCCCTATAACAACATGTCTCATTCGAAAGGGATTTTATATATCTCATATTATACTACATCTCCAACGTTTTTTAAGCCATGTATGCACCGAGAATTCACAAGGATTCGACTGTGCTTGAACGGAGGACTCTGCACATACAAAACATGATTTCGTTAAAGATTAACTATTTTAGCTTTATCATCATGATTAAACAAGTTGTTCAAAGCTAGATTTAGATACGATTTAATTCGGGTTCCCTATCACAATCTAGTATAAAATGTATGATACCGATTTCGTAAGCACAATACATGTTTATTGAATAACTCACCAGACAATACATGTTTATTGAATAACTCACCAGACAATACAAGTTTATTGAATAACTCACCAGACAATACATGCTTATTAAATAACCTTCACAAGATGTGTCCGATAATCAAACATTAGGGTGTTTGGAAAGCCAAAATATAACACGTCTAAAGAGAGAAAGTAACTATAATGACCTTGGAGACTTATACAGAAGAACCGTTTAAGGGCATTTTTACCTAGCATCTTTACCTAAAGGAGTTGTAATATTAGTATAATAACATGATTTATGAAATGGAAATTACGAAAACGAGTATGATTATGAAAAATTAAAAAAAAAAGCAGCAATGTAATTTTTCTTTAATCGACAGGAACTATATTTTAGAATATCTTTTATAAAACAAAGTATTCGAATATAATTGCTGCAAGAAATCCGTCAACATAATGTCTGTATTTCAGCACCCGAAAGAACATTACAAACTACATGTACGATGGAAAAGATTTGAAGTAAATAGCATAAAACACAGAACACACAGCACACAAAACACACACACACACACACGCGCGCGTTGTTATAGCTGGTAATGTATATTTATAAGAGTAACCGCGCTATAATGAGATTCTTCCTATTGACAGTTGGGAGGTCTTCAGCGGTAACCTTTGATATACTTGGCACCGCGTGTAACATAATAGAGACACCACCTTTACTGTCAACTTAGAGCAGTACCCTAAGACTTGGAGGTACAAGCATATGTTGGATTTCAATAAGAATAAAAATATAAAAACAACATTAGTTAAGCTTCTACAAATACTATTACTGTCTGTCGTATTTAGTATGCGTGTCATCATGTTTTCGAAAGGGTACAATTTATAATCTTTCATCTCATACAATATGTTCTTTTTAAAAAAGATGTCGGAATATTTAAACAAAAAGACGAACCCGTTAAACTATGATTTTAATAGATATGGAGTAGATAACAAGAAACAAAACACGCACACGCTTATTCAGCATCTTGGTAGTTACTGGAATGTCTTATGCGGTAAGCTTCTTGTCGATACTTATATTTTGACATTGCACAAGGTCATGCTTTTCTCAGACTGCTTATGGCGTCTTGCCACCAAATCTATTGTGGTTGTATACTGTTTTATATTTTGGTATGGGAAAATATGGTATATTTATTAGTTGAAATTGGGCTTTGAACTAGCTCTTAAAAACTGCGATTACTCGTAGAATGCTACTTTTTGCTTTATGTCCTTTCATTTAATTTATTTGTTTATGTGCTTAGTACCGGCGATCTCTTTCTAACTGATTTTACTGTCACCATGGCAAATTGATTGACCAATACGATGTGTCGGTGTCTCACTATCGATATGTTTTGTGTCGGTGTCTCAACTCACTATCGATATGTTTTTCGCGGTCTTAGATTTGTCTCTTCTTAATCGATTTACGAGATTTGAACATCGGTCAAATGCTATCGCCTTAAACAGATATTAAACACCTTTTATTAACACAGCATTATGATCTGATTTAGGAAATATACAAAATAATATGATTTGTACAAGTTTCTTCATGTAATATGAAAAAGTTAAACCGTTATACGCTTTTAAAGTACCACCCCTAGGAAAGCTTAGTTTATGAAAGATGTAGCTACCATGTACATTTCGTTTCAGTGGGATATTAATTGATATTTTTTTCATTTTTTTGTTTTTTATTATTCTTGACGATTAACCATTTCATCAGCATACACTTATTTTGCTTATTTAGCATTTGGTGTTGCTGTCAGAATTTAAAGATCGTTGTGGGAGCTTAATCACCGTGGAAGACCGTGACCGTATAATGACCTTTTTGAATATTGTCTTTATCGGTTAAAAAAAGGTATTTTGATTTGAATAGTTTAATGCATAACTGACCTTGTATTGCTTTTCAGTTATCAACACTTTTTACAAGGTTCTATATACATCCTGTCAATACACATATTTTGGCATTACAAAAGGTCAATTAATGTCTCTTCAGTGATGTTAGGAATCGGAACGGTAATTGGAAGGCCATATTAGATATAATTTACATCAATTTAGGATAGACTCTTGAATTTTGAAGAGTCGTAGTAGGATGAACGGATCATATAAACCCGAAGGCAAGTATAATACAAGCCCAAACGAAAAAATATAAACAAGTCTAAATTGAAAACAACGTTCAAACCTATGATTGCGTTGGATAAAAACCACAATTTGTATACGTGTGCATGCAAAACAAATTTCGTGGTAGAGGGGTCTAAATACAGCACAAACAACATTTTCCAAAAGACCAAAAATGTGAAAAAGTATATTTTAACAAAACGCATTTGACTAGCAGGTCGAACAACGGATGTTCTTAAACCCCGCTGACTGCCATTGGCGATTGCCAAATAAACGGATCACCAGATGTAACAAAATGGATCTTATATATATATGATAAATTGTGTTTCGTTTTTGTGTTGTAGTGTAAATCAGGACGTAGATTTTTCTTTTCTTAATTATATCACATTTCGTCATGCCGGGGTAATTCATATAAGGAATGAGTTTTGTTTATTGTTGAAGGTCTTACGGTCACCTGGTGGATAGTTGTCCCATGTGCAATTCTATCACCTTTCCTTTTCATCTAAAGCTTTGTTTTGGCTTAAAATGTGTCATAAAGGTGCTGTTGGATTGAAATTTAGACCGAATATTTTTTTATTCAAATTGATTTGTTGATTGATTGTTTGATTCTTCACGTGCCTGTACTTCACGTGCATGTCCAGTTGCAACTTTATTGAATTGTAAAACGTTCACATATAATTTATATCGCAAACATATAAGTTTGATCAAATGGTATGAAGTACAGTGGATTTACTACTATTCTTGGGATACCTGATTTCGCTGATATAAGTGAACCACGAATTTCAACGAACTTCAAATTTTCAAAGGTTTGCATGTAGACTTTTGCAAAACCACGAAATCAAGTATCCACGAATATACAATATTTCCTCAACCCGCGAAAATTAGTACCCACCAAAATAACCGAATCCGCAGTAATAAAAGGTCACATTTTGTTATTAGTTTCGGTAATGATGACTGCGTAACATTGATATTAATAAAAGGAGATGATGAGGGGTATCCATCAATGAAACAGAATCCCAAGAACACAAATAAAGAAGACATCTAAAGATCAACACACGGATTTCAACTATAGGCAGATGTCTATACAATATGTCAATCTCTAATATACCAACAGTCTAAGAGAAAAGTTACCACTGACTAACAAAGTTCTGCAATCAACACAGAATTCCCAACAATGAACATTTTTTTTTATAATACTATGATACATTTTTGTTAAAGAACAACGAGGCTCGGTTTCGGATAAGTACATAGATATGTGACAAGGTTAGACCAGTTTTTTTAGAAATCATCTTGCTTTGCTGTCTGATTCAATCCCTTGTAATCCGTGTACTTTTTTCCATCCTTTGTTCTCGTCACACCGGTTAAAACGGACGAAAGCAGCGTTCGTTAAATAACAATCGGAGTCCCGTGTCCTTTTCTTCTTTATGAGGTAGGTCAGCTTCCGGGACATTTTTTTTATATGAGTACATGTACGATAGGAGGAAGCTTGGTTTTGATAATTTTTGTTGTATTTGTTATATGTTAAACCATTTAGGTTATTGTATTTTGCATAACTTTTCGGAATTTTGGGTCCTCAAATGTTCTTCAACTTCGAACTTTATTGGCCTTTTTAACTTGTTATGCCCCCGTCATAGGCAAAGGGGGCATTAAGTGTTACCTTTGACTGTCCGTCCCTTCGTCCGTCCGTCCGTCCCATTTTCATTTCCGCACTCTAACTTAAGTTTGCCTCGTGCAAATTTTATGAAACTTATACACAATGCTAAGAACTAAAACTTGCAGACTAGTTCAAATTTGGACATTGAGTCACTTAATGTTCTTGAGTTATGCCCTTTACAACTTGGAAAATTGCAATATTCTTCGTTTCTGCACTCTAACCTAAATGTTTCTCATCTAAATTTTATGAAACTCATACACAATGCTAAAAATCAAAACTCGCAGACAGAGTTCGAATTTGGGCAGCAGGTCACTTACCGTTCTAGAGTTATGCCCCTTTATAACTAGGAAAATTGCAAATTTATTCGTTTCCGTGCGCACTCTTTCTTAAGTTTGCTCATGCAAATTTTATGACACTCATACACAATGCAATAACTACAACACACAA